GGTTTATAGGGTTTCGGGTTTTGGGTTTTGGGGTTTTAGGGTTCTAGGGTTTAGGGTCCCGGTTCGTTCTGAAAGGAAGACGGCAATCTTTTGGGGGCGGCGTTCGGGTTTCGTGGTTTAGGGGTTAGTTCGGGCTAAGACAAGTCTTCTGAGTTGTTGGAGGCTGTTAGGTTCGTATTCCGGTATCCGTTGTGATTACTTGGGCTTGACGACAGGCCTCTGAAACGTTTCTTAACAGATGGTTTCACGTCTCGCACCCCAGAAAGAGTCGGGAGCCATGTTGTGTAGCGTCAGTGTAGCTTTGAAGGGACTTGAGGAGGGGTTTGGGGTCCACCGTTTCCGGCTTGGCGATTCTCGAATCTGCTGCCTGATCACTCTGGACACATTGCAAGCGTCTTGTCGAAGGGCCGATGTTTGTCTGAGCGCCATTGTTTCCCGGCGCAATCCCTGCGCCAAGGCCTCAATCCGACACCTGCTCTGCCAGGCATATGCGGAAGCGACCGACACGGCGACCGCAGTCTACAAGGTTTCAGAGCGGCTGAGAGAGCCTGAACCCTAGAGGCCTTACAAAAAAGACCCTTCATCGCCCTAATCTCTCAGCACGGCGTGAATTTCGGGTGAGGAGACCCAAAATCGCCTGAGACGAGACCCCGCAACAAAAACAGGGGGAGCCTGAGCCGCTGGGCCCCTCGGCGCCCCGGGGCCGCCCATGGCCGCAGGCCGTGGCGACTGCGGAAGCCAAGCGCAAAGTCAAAGAGGACGGCAGCAAAGCAGAGATTGCCTCCGTGGCCTCGTCCGTGGCTGGGCTGCAGTGAGGCTGCGGAGAGAAGGCCGCAGGAAGCACGCCGTGTGATTACTGCGGTGGTATGCTAGGGCAAGAAGTAGAGATGGCGCTGGTAGTGGTGGTTTCATCGTCGTGGGAAGAGCTGCAGAAATCGGGCTTTCCAGGCTTTGGGGCCCTCTTTGAGCCTCCTAGGCTATCGTCCTCCTTCGATGCAAAGAAACCCAAGGAGGCCACGGCAGCCGCGCGCAGCAATGGCAAGGCCAGTGCCAAGGAAATCGCCAACGCCACGAGGACGTTAACTTGAAAGAAGAAAATAGGGCTCCTGGAATTTAAGAACTCGGAGGTCGACATCAAGGGAAGGGGCTTCTTCGTTCGGGATGATTTTACTGGCACACGGTTGCTACATTTTGGCTTTGCTGATCTCACACCTGCAAGCCTGCCAATGCAGCAGGACAGTCACTGCGCAAGGTGCGGCAGGCCGAAACTGTTTTGCTGCGATTTCAAGAGAGCTAGGAGCCCTGCGCAAAGAGGGTGCTGTTCAGACAGCAGAGTGCAACCTTCGAAGACGATGTGAACGAAGAGCCGGAAACACCCCTCTCAAGCCCCGCAGGCGCGACGGTCAAGCTCAAGCAGACCGGACACGGCAACTCGCCCTTGTTTCGTTCCTTGAAACCTTTTGCGCCCGAGACTCTTCCAACTTTCGGCCAGAAAGCTTTCATGACTCAACCCCCGTGCATTGTCTTTTCGGAAACCCTTCCGAGACCCCTCGCAACACAAAATTTGAAGTCGAGGGACAGTGGAGTTCAAGCCTTTCAGATTTGGTCTCAGGGGTTGTCGGTGTGGAGCTTCGTTCGGTAACAGTCTAATACACTGCGCAGAGCTGTGCTGTTAGGGCCAAGGACCGACCAAAAGATGCAAAGCTTAGTTTTAAGGTTTGGCCAGGTATGGACAAACCATCACACAACTAGCTAGCTCTTTTAGCCTGATGAGTGGTGCCTAAAACCCTAACCCTAAATAGGCCTCAGAGGTAAGGCCTTTTCACGAATCCCGAAAATCTGCAAGAAACCCTAAAGTCAGATTCGTAGGTAGAGCTGGAAAAGACCAACAAAGCCCTCTAAACCCTACAGTCAGACCCGTTAACCTCTAGAACCAAACCTCGAGTCTGTTGCAGCTTAACACCGAATCAAACCAAACCAGCAGCCTCCAACAAACTCCAGAAACCAAATTCAAGTCCTAACCCCTAAACCCAAAACCCTCAAGTGCCCAAATCCCCGAAGGCCTTCCGAAAGATCCGCATCCCCCAAATTCCAGGGGCTCCTTCGTCACTCTACTCCCTGAGTCCCCTTTAAACCCTCCCAAAGCCTTTACTTCACTCCGTACAAAAAAGCTTTGAGGCAAAGCCGAGGCGGAAGCTGAAAGGAACGCCACGGTGCACATCCAGGACACGGCCACAGTCACGAAGAGTCTCGGCATTTGACTTTTTTAGAATTGCAACAGCATATTTAATATGGTTCGTTATCATAACAATGACGATAGCAATCGTCATGGGCATCACGATCACCATCACCATCATCACAACCGTCATCATATATCGAAGGCGCTAAGTAGGAAGCATCAAAGTAAACATCATCGTCATCATTCTCATCAGAACGGTTTCGTTTCTGACACTCTTAGGGGTATCACAACGGCATTGTAGAGGAACGCAACAGCCTCAACGTAGACATTATACGGGCATCTTCCATCTCTCAGCAAGGTGTGTGTGTGTGTTGTGCCAAGGGAAGGACGCTGGGGTGGGGCTCCACGACTTGCGTGTGGGTTTTGAACCTGGCCCCTAAAAGTTGTCTTGTATTTTCCACATTCTGGACCCTAGAAACCAGGGATCTAATTTGGTTCGCCTGGGGTTTGTTCGATCTTGGGCTCGTTGCTCGCTCGCACGCCGCTTCAAGGAAACGGACCGTCGAAGTCGAGGGCGTCGGCACCATGACCAAGGAGTTCAAGGCAGCACTGACAAGACTAGGCTTCGGTGCGGGCTTCCTTTTTGTAGCTCTGCATATAATGCACTTGGTTCTCTACTTGTGAGGGTCTCAGCAGAAGAATCGCATCGCCAGAACTGGGTTCAAAGGCTCTACGTCGTAAGCCTGGATGAAGCAGTTTTAATTTAAGTCGTGCTGGCTTGGAAATGGCAGAGGCCACGGCCACGGCCAAAGCCATCGTGGAGACAAAGGCGTGCATCTCTGCCCGCCAGGCAGGGAGACGCTCGGAAACGGGCTTGGGCTTCGACATCTCCAGCTATCATATGCAGAAATAGAAGGACGTTTCGGCTTTTGATGCGTCGACCCTTGAAATCGCCCTCTTGATGACAAGCGTGGATTTCGGGACAAGAGACGGACGGTTTTGTAGACAGTTTTGCTGGTTGGAAGATATGCATCCTGAAGCTTGTTGTCGCGGCACGCCGCTCATCCGCACAAGCGCCGTCACTCTCATCAACATTCAGGTTCTGTAGTTCCTGCACCTGCCAACTACTGCCCACGATGCATCGAAAGCATATCAACAGGAAATGATGCCACATCGTTCATGGCAGTCGTCAGCTTCGACAGTTGCAGCATCTCCTCACTATCATTGTTTGAGTTTCCTAGAAATCCCAAACCCCATTCCAAAGATCAGGCAACTAGCTCATCTAAGCTACATCGGCACATGGAAGGATGAGTAGCCTAAGCTGCTTAAGCTGGCTTCTCCTATCTTTTTTGTGGCCCTGCTTCCGACCTGCTTTGTTAAGTCCCCGGCTCAGCGGAACTCCTTTAAGGATCTCTTCGAGTCTTAGAGAATCCTACGTCCGCTCCCAGAAAACCCTATACCCCCTCAAAAAAGGAATATACCTTAAACTATAGGGGCCTTAATATGATGATTCAAGGTCTATTCCGTAATTAAGGGGTATTCGGTTCTCTGGGTTTGTCGCAAGGCCAAGCAGATGCTGAGCCAGGACAGCTTAAGGCAGTCGGGAGTGCCATTTGCCCGCGCCGTCTACAAGAAGGTGGGGCCTTTTACCTTTGAGTGTTCCTTTTAAGGAGCTTCCTTCAAGACATTATCGAAAGTCTACGAAGGTCCAATGAAGCGTTCAAAAAGGGGTGCTTGAGGTTTCAAAACATCCGGTAGCTTCAAATTCTAAACTCTCACAACCCCAGATACTCTGACGAGAAGACTGCAAACCTCGAGCGGAGAAGATTGAAAATGCTGACTGAGTCGAGGTGTCTGTGCACCTGGAACAGTATCTCTTATTCTTGTCATCATGATCATTCATACTGTATCAGCACTCATGACAATTAGCACTTGTCTTCTGCCGGCTCTTTTGAGTAGAGTAGAGTAAAAGTTGAAGTCATCATCGCTACCGGTATTCTTGATGAAGTACCGAATGCTGCGGCCAGGCAGAGCGAGAAGCTTATGCCCAGGCCAAGGAGAAGGCAACTAGCTCGGCCATCAACTTGGCAACGAAGGCTGCTTGGACTACGAAGCTTTGCGTCCGAGAGAAGGCTAATGAAGAGACTAAGCCGAAGCTATGTCAGAACCCTAGAAATAAATCATCCTCTTGCAACCCAACCCGAAAGGCCAAAAAAAAAAGCCTCCCTTGTACAACCCCGGGCATGAACACGCTGCACACTGCATAACTCCACAGAAGAATAAAGAAAGCCCACGGACACCTTGAAGCAAACACCCAGCAAGAATCTCCACGTTATGATAGCAAAGCTTGTGGCATAAGCCCTACCAAAACCTGCAAAAGACCGGTATAGATAAAGCCCTGCACCCTAATCCCTAAGCCCTAAACCTCTTAAACCTTGCAAAGGCCTTACAACACCATAGTACAAAAAGCCCTCCGACAAGGCAGCGAAAGATCGGATCGACTCCGATATCGAGGCTCAGGTGGCGAAGTACACCGAGGCCCCCTATTAAGGGCTTTATTTTGAGGGTTCTATCAAGGGTCCGGTAACGGGTCCTTATAGAGCCGTTCCTATAACTTCAAGGGTTCTTGTCAGGGTTGCTTGTCAAGGGTGCCTCTTATCAAGGGTGCTTCTTCAGGGGTTCCTTCTAAGGGCCTCCCCGAATGGTTCTTCGAGGAGTTCAGCGTTCGCGATGATGAGGGCTTTCACGCACCACAGATGCTACGGGCTTTCACGACGTCCTAGGGTTTTTGTTGAGCGCTTCGGGCTTTCAGGCATTCAGGGTCCACGCTGTGCAGGGCCAGGCCTTAGGGGTTGTTCTTGGCGCTGAGACGATCAGGCGAGGAGGGTCGTTGCTGGTTTTTCGGTACTTCCGTCATCATTGTCCCAAAAAAAACCCCTAGCACTCCTAAACCTTGTTTGTTCTTCTCTGTGACGTCCACTTTTTTTCGCTTTGGCGGGCGCTTCTTCTGGCGGTCGCTGCTGGCGGAGGTGGAGCCGGAGCTGCTGCGCGCCTGTTTTTTCGCTGCAGCGTTGTGGGTTCTTTTTTTCCTTTTTTGGGTCGTCTTTGCTTCCTTTAAAAATTTTGCCTTCGTCCGACGTTGCTCTCTTTCTTCTGAAGCCTCGTTCTTCTCGATTTGTTGCTGTTTCTTCTTCTGGCCTCCGAGTTCCCGGAGCTCGGAGTTTCCAGAGCCTTGGTAACTCGGGTTTCGGCCTCGGCAGTGAGTGAAGAGCTCCAGCTGTCGTAAGTACTGGGAAGCCCAGGGGACTTAGTAAGGCGGTCATAAGCAGGGTTATTTTTTGGGGTAACTCCATTTAGGGTGCTTATAACTCTACTTATAACCTACTTGCTAAGTCCCCTGGGCCTCTATTTAGGGCCTGGAGGCCACAGCCCAAGAGGAGGTCCTAAAGGGTCCTAGGTCCTCGACTCCTTCCCTCCCCTGAGTAATTACAGATCTGGAGCTCGCTCTCTCTGTCTCTCTCTCTCTCTAAACACATCTCTTAGGAAGTCTATGTCTTCAATTCTGAAAGGAGATATAAATCAAGACTTTGAGCCTCAGAGATAGGCCCATTGGGGAGGTGCCGAATTCAAGACATTCGCGGCTTGCACATGACAGAGACGCGCCCATGCTGCAGGCATGTTGGGCTCGCAGTTTTGTTGCCGTTCAGGAGCACCGATCGAAGCTTGAGAAGATCGCGCTGGAAGACGCCATGAACAGCACTCTGGGAGTCAAGAAGATGCTGCAGGCGGGACGGTGTTTCAGGTAACTTGCGGTCCTCAACGGCCGCCATCGTGAAATCATCTTCATCCTCATCATCGTCATNNTGTGAGAAGTCCTTCTTGCCTTCTCCATCGTTTTTCGTGTTCTTCTGACTCGCTTCATGATGTGTTTGCCTGTGAGCTTCCTGCTCTTCTCACGACGATCGTTCTAGGTCTTGTTCGAATGCTGCAGCTTGCAGCTATCGCTGGTAGATTGTTAGCATGATTGTCATCGTCCTTGTGTCTCTCATCATGTCTATCCCAACGCCAGGGAAGGTTCCAGCACCTGTCGTGCCTTGTGCAAAATTGCGTCCAGCAGCGGTGTCATCTCGTATTCGGGGCTTTCGGGAGTTGGGGGTCAGAGCGTGAGCTTGGAGGACAGGGGCGACGTAGTAAGACAACCCTGTCTTCGGCAGAAGTCACCCGATGCTCGGGGAGAGATGCAGATGTGCAGAGATCCAGCTGAACATGAGGCATGATTGGGGGGCCTTCAGAAAGTCAAAGCCCGAAACCTGCAACCGAAAACCCGCAACCCTTAAACTTAAACCCCTACACCGCAAAAATCTGAAAACAACCCTAACCCGCCCCCNNCCCCCCCCCCCCCCTTCCCCACCCCCCCTCCCATCCTGCGGAAATGTTTCCAGGAGGCCGCCGTGAAGGAAGCCATGGCTCAGGCAGTGGACAAGGCTCAAACTCGCGGCTGAGCGAGGGTTCTTTGAAGGGTGGATTTCGGGAGCTTTAGGGTTTAGGGGTCTAAGATGGGCTACCTTGAAGTGGGATGCACTTGTAGGCTGCTCTGAGGCATGGCGGGGTCATTGCGAGGTGACTGAAGTGCTCGAAGGGAGCCCTACACTCAACAAACATGCCTTTCGAAGAGTCGAACCCTAAACCCAAACCCAAACAGCCCTAAAGCCTACATTCCAAAGCCTAACCCCTGCACAACCCTAAACCCTAAACNNCCCTAAACCTTAAGACCCTAAACCCCTAAAACCCCCAAACCACCCTAAACCCTAAACCTTAGACCCTAAAACCCCCAAACCACCCTAAACCCCCAAGCCCTAAACCCTAAGCCCTAAACCCCAAACCCCTGAACCCCTAAACCCCTGAACCCCTAAACCCCTACGCCCCTAAACCCCTAAAGCCTTAAACCCTAAGCCATCCTAACCCCGAAGCCCTAAAGCTCTAAACCCTAAACCCCCCCAAAAGAA